CAATTACTTAAAATAAAACATTAAGTAAAATCATTGAAGTATTAATTTAAATTCAATAAATCAGAATAGCAAACTTTTATTTTGTATAAATGAAATTATAAACAACCCAGATTAAAAGCAATTTGAACTTACAACTGTTTTTTCACTTTCCTGATACTTTTTGCACAGATGACAACTATTGGATATGTTTATATGGTTGTCAGACTCTTCAACAACTGTTTTCATGACAATGTCATAACCAGTAGAATATGTAAAATGGCAATACTGTTGAAATATTTTCTATGTAAATTTATGTGTGCCCATTTATGTGATCAAGACCTTGTGCCTGTCTTCACAAATCCCTATGGAAAGGGACTATTTTTTACAATTGATGCTATTGGTGTTTATTGGTGTAATGATGTGTATTATTGGTGTTTATTGTTATGTAAATCACAAAGTTAGTAATGAATTATTCCTTGTATTTCTTTACTCATACAGAAATAAAAAGTGGCATGTATATCAATCCTATTGACCTGAAAGTGAAATGAACCATTTCTGGAGATGTGTGTGGAAGGGAGTAAAACTCCTCAGTGAATGAGAAAAGACAGTGTACATAAGACACATTTCCCTTTTGAGTCAAGTGTTCAACAGTGAGAAGCAAGAGCTCTTAGAAAGGACTATTTTCACTGTAGCCCTATCTGTTCGTTTGCTATCCAAGGTTATCACAAAATACATGAGTTACTTAAGATCAAAAAGAGAAAGAGCTCCGTTTCCCATCTAATTTGCAGGCAGTACAACACAGAAGAAAGGCCTGAATTTTTTAAAAGCCAGTGACTGCATACTTAAATACAAGATGTTTAGAGCACTACAGATATAAGACCGTTTTTCAATAGTCTAAAACCATGGACCTGATTTTTTTTTTAAAAAAACACATATCCTGATATACAGATTCACCATGTGCAAACAAAAATAAATCTTGTGACTTTTACACTTAGAAAAAAATTTAAGGTTGAGTATTAAAATTTAATTGGCAACTCTGACCTTGTATGCCACTGTAGGTGAAAAATAGTATACCAGTGCTCATATTTTTTTTTAGATTTATGATCTCATGTTCTTGAAAAAGGCCTAGCACCTCCATGTTCTTGAAATAATTGATCTGTCTCTTTAAGTGTTATTTTCCTGAAACCAACATCTGTCTCAGGAAGAAAAGTACAAACTGATTAAAAAAATGCTCTGCTACATCTAAGAAACTCAAAAGAACTACCAAAAATTGCATCTAATACACTATTAAAATAGCAGCCAAAATCCTAAATTGATACATTTCTTAGCACACAACAGACGAAAGAATTAACCTTAAAGATATCTGCAAATATTCTCTATAAAGATTGACTGCAATATTTAATAAAGGGTTAATGTTTAAAATATGCTAATAAGTCACAGTACAAACCTGCAGTTCATGTGTTATTGGTTTGAATTGAAATCCACTTTCAACCTTGAGAACATTTCCTTCTTTGTCTCTTTACTGCATTGATAAAACCAACTTAAAAAAAAAGTATCACAACCACCACGATTGATTGTTTCTCTTAAAGAGTCAAAATATTATTGAAGTCATTGGATGGGATAAGTAGGTCATAATATCGAAATTGAAAATGACTATAGTTATTAAACGTTTACTTTTAGTGGAAAGTCAACATAAAATTCTGGATCTATTTGTAATAATATAACTCAAGTGTTATTGCTGTTCTCCACATGACAAGCTGTCCAATACTGAGTAACACCTTCTATCACAAATTAATTATTATAGTAATTGTCAACTCTAAGTATATATTACCTATTTGGTATTATTAAAAGTACTTTATAATTACTAACTCATACAGTGCAGAAACCTTGTAAGGAGGGTATTATTGATCCTAGAATAGGATCACCTCCTCTTACAAATTAGGATAACACAGATCTTAGAAAGGAAGCAAATTCCTGAAGGTCAACAGCTACACTGGATTCCCTACCCTGGTAATGTAGTCAAAGGCATATGTCTTAGCGCAAATAATCCATTTCTTATTAGGACACAGGTAGGTCTGCCTTATCAAAAATATAATTTCAAGAAAAGCCCATAAATGGAGAAAAGTACAGTCACTAATTTATATAACCCGCTACCCAAAGAAAAACTATACATTAAGTTACTTCCCAAAACAAAAGGTGCACAGAATGTATGTATATGCATACACACACACAAATACACATACACACTCTTTGCATGTGGTGCTGAAATTTGGTCCCGATAAACTAGTTACATCTACCCTCCAAACTGTTTAATAAGTTCTTTCCAATAAGCCACAATAGGTAAGGTCCTGGAAAGCAGTCAATGCATTAGTAACCTTGAGATACTAACTAAATAAGATGAAAATATTAAAACTCCAGGATAAGATTTCTTATAGCAAACGATGCTCTTTGGAAACAAGCCAAGAAAGTCTCAATTTACTAATACTGTTTGAACATCTTGTCGTGAAACATCTCCCACTCAACACCGGAAATCTGCTAAATAGTAGTCACATCAGGATAAACTCAGCATATGACAGTCATTAGGGGAAGGTTAATTTTGCACAAGAAATCTTTGCAGCTCACCAACAGAAACAGCACTGTAGCACTGTCCTCCCATTGTTCATCGATTTACTAGAGCGGGCACCAGTAACTTCTCACAACAAATTGTGAGACTTGTTGTTACTGTTTTTGCTATCAAATACGTCACGGGGAGCTTGCCAGGCTTTGCCAAGCTGGCAGATACTCTTGGTAGCTTGCCGGGATCTCCGAGAGGGGCAGAGAACTCGAACCCGGGTTGGCTGTGTGCAAGGCAAACGCCTTACCCGCTGTACTACTGCTCCAGCCCGAAAGAGCAATGATAGAAAAAAATAGCTAGTCCTAAACACATAACTCAAGTCTAACAACAAAAGTCACTGACAGAGTGATGAAGTAAATAACTGCTTCTCTATTAGCATCTACAACAGACAATGAAACTATTTTGCAAAAGTATAAAATGAGAAATGATCACATATTTTCCACATACCTAGTGGAAAACTATTAGAGACATATACATGTATATATTTATTGTATATATCAAGAGACATATTCTTACAAGTACAATATTTAGTCTACCAATGATATATTTTGTATAAAATCTAAAATGGTAAGACAAATAGGAATGTCAGAAAGTTTTATAAGTATAAAGCTATGACCTTTAATATAAAGGAAAATGAACATTTTTCTGTTAATCTACTTTGTCATATGTACAGTGCCTGAATCCACCATACCACCCTTTAAAGTAGGGATGGGAATCCTTTTCCTGCGGAGGGCCATTTGAATATTTATAACGTCATTCTGGGACATACAATATTGCTACAAGTTGTCCCATCAGATGCCAAGGTCATATCAAATGATTTCAGGGCTTATATGCTGTATGCCAGATGCTCCTTGACTCTGCAAACAATCAAAACACTCCAAAGAATTTGGCTGTAAAGTAAGTTGTTAGTATTCAAAAGTGCTCCCATTGAAACCATATAAAAAGAGAAGTGCATTTTTTTTCTGGGGAGAAGGGGGAATAAGTTACTAAATTAAAATGCTAATTAAGAAATGACATTTTAAAATGAACATTTGTAAATTGTAGATAATTTTTTGAAATAAACTATCACAATGCAAACACACGTGAAAAGTATATATGACAGTCAGATTCAGACACCCCTACTAAAGAGAACAGAAGACAGTGCCAAGTATTATTATTAGAGTCCCTTGCAAAGGACACAGTCTTGGGAAAGTTAGGGCTATTAAAGAGTAAACCAGAACCCCTATCTTTTTAATGACCACAATTTTGTTTTGTAGTTAAAAGATTTAAACTGATCTCAGGACACAAATGAGGCAATTTCTAGCCAGAGGTAACAAAGCTCTCATAAATCTTTTCAAATAGCTCATAAACTGGCACAACTATCATAGGTGTGGTTCAGTTAAAAGCTATAATGCTTTGAAAGCTAAACTTTACAAAACTAAGTGAACAATGTTTATAAAGAAAACCTAAGCATATACTCCATGTTATTTTCCAGCAGGGCCACACTATATTTCAGGTTTCACTTGATTTACTATCAAATTAATATATTTAAAATTTTTTATCCATGAGTATATTTTACCTACAACAATATGATCACAGACAAAAAAAAGGTTTTCAAATTAAGGAGTGGGAGGTATTGTTCAATGCAGTGTTTCACAGGTGGGCAATGATACCCTCTACAAAGAAGTGCTGAAATGATGACTGAGTGTGGCAGTTGTAACATCACCTGTAACTGATGCTGGTGCTATGATTTATTCACTTTTTAAAAAGGTAGATTTTTCCCAGGGAGGTGCTGACTGATAGTTTTGTCTGAAGAGGGGTATGGTAGACCAAATAACTTTGGGAACCTCTGGTTTAATGGATGACCAAAGAATTCAACTAAAATAATGAGAGAACAAACTTCATGACGTTCAGTAGAGAACAACTAGATGCTCTTTGTAGATAAACAACTGGTAACCAGAGAGAATGCTTGTTAGGGAAGTGCTTAAATTCATTCTTCTATTACAAAATAGTGGCATGTAGGATTTTCAAAACGAATACCCTGTGTCCTTGAGAAAATGCTAATTTCTAAATGCCATTTTGCTGGTTTATTTTTCCCCTAGATTCTGAAGCAGAGAAAGGATGTCATCTATGTTAACATTAACCACGTACCCTGAGGCTGCTCAGTAAGCAAGTAACCAGCCCAAATTCTCATTGTGGAAAGAGTGAGGTATTGGTAGTTACTTACCATGTGACCCTTTCCTAGGAAGCACTATTAAGTAAATAATTTACACATTAGACCTTCGCCTTCTGGTCCCATATTATATAGCAAACTATGAGGAACAAAGGTCAATAGTGTGTCTGCTTTCTCTAGCAATTTCCAAATACTTGCATAACTACTTAACTACTTATATACATAATATATATTATATATTATGAAGAAACACACCTGGGTCCACCTGTCTGGAGGTTCTTCCAAGCCCATTGGTTCGTTTCTGTGTAGGAAAATAAAGCAAAGCAAAATTTTTACAGACAAAAAAGGTTGTTACATTACTAAATCCTACTACTTCATGATGCCTACGAAAAGCAATGAACACTGCATAGGAATATGACCAAATTCAATGTAAGCATGTTTCTAAAATTTGCTTTCAAAATCTTACCTATTCATTTCCTTAATCTTCCATCTGAACATCATTACATTTCATAAGTTGTAAATATCTTTTAACACAACATAGAAGCAGTATCTTTCCAGTTGCTACCTCTAGAGATTATGACACAATTTTTCTTTAAGTCATAATGACAAATAAAATTATGTACACAAAGCCCAGTTATTCTTGGTTAAAAAATGCTCCTGGCCAAACACATAATATCTCCAAATCTTGCACAGTTTTCTTAAGCCTGACAGACCTAAGTGATAGACCAGGCGTGGGCGGCAACCTTAAAATAAAGGTCTTAGGGCAGAAGAGATGGTACAGAAGGAAAGATGCTTGTCATTTACTGAGCTCTGCTGGATATGGCCCCAAAACCAAAACAAACAAACAAACAAAAGCAAACAATTCCCCATACTTCAAATTTTAGCACTGAATGTTTAAATAAGGATTCTTTTAAGTTGTATCTGAATATTATAAGAAACAATACAGGCCTACATGCAGTCTGTGAAACATAAAAGTGAGTCCTTATTTTAAAAATTCTTAAGTAAAAATTGAGCATTAAACAAATTATAGAATATATATGTGTGTGTGTGTGTGTGTGTGTGTGTGTGTGTGTGTGTGTGTGTGTGAGCCACATCTGGCAGTGCTTGGGACTCACTCATTGCTCTGTGCTCAGGGATCATCCTGGTGGTGGGAGGAAGGGACTATATCAACTGCATGCAAGGCAAGTGCCCTACCTACTGTAATATTACTCTGGCTCCTAGGTAAAAATTTCAACAAAACATATTTTCTTTGAAAAGCTATGGTTACAAGCTCACAAGCATTAAATTTATTCCAACTTAATAGCTATGGGTAATTTCACTAATAAGGATTCAATTTTCACATTATTAGATCACTAAATAAAATGCTGAGTCTGTAACATGTAATTTTTTTTCTATGTGTGTTGGAATTTGTTTCTAAGTATGAAACCCAGGTTCATTCAGAATACACTTCATTCTACTCAGCATACGTTAGACATGGACATTTTTCTAATCTTCCTTTTTTCTTTTTTCTTTGATGGATGAAATGAGGTCTTAGAATCTTTTCAGTGGTCCTCCGAAGTCCTATCAAGCACAATTTAGGATTTCTTGAAAAAGCAGATTGGAGAAATTTTTAAAATGCAGTTTTGTTTTTAAAGCAAGTACTTTCAAAATAGTCTTGTAAAAGTCTAACAAGATCATTAAAACTAGATGGAAGCTATGTTGAGCAAGATACATAGCTGTATAAAAAAATGGTATAAAGACAGACATTGTCTGTGAGAAAATAAAAGGCAGCTTGGGGCCTCGTGGTAGGCTAGACACAAGAAGGAAAATGTTATGAGTTAGTGATTCATATCGAATAGATCGGAAGAAAACTGTTTTCAAAGAAAAACTCTTTTCTACCTGCAATTTCATCAAAAATTTTGGAGCTCGCAATGTAAAGGACAACGAGCAATACAACTGAAACTATTTTCAACAGGAAAACATACAATGATGGCTATCTTGTTGCGATTTATTTCTTAAATACCCTTCACCGTCTTGATGTATAATAGAAGCTGTTTTTCGCGCTCTTATACCTTCTACCATTAAAGTGCTTGGAAACAAAAAGCAATTCAGTCTCTGGGTTTTATTCCTGGACTACTAGTTTCGACTGGTATATTTTAAGATTATAAATCTATTTATTTTAAACAGGACTTTATTTCTACTTCAAGAACAACTGTATTTTGAAAGTAGGATTAAAATTGGAAACATGAGGGAGAAGCAGAGAGATAACTTACGGTGTTAGCATAGCTTGCATGCAAAAGGCCTGAGTTTGAGCTCTGGCTGTACATAGACCCTCCCCACATTGTTAGCTGCACTGTGGAGGCCCCTGAGGACCATTCAGTGAGGGCTGGTGACCCTCAGCACTGAAGGCCTGAGAAGTCGTGAAACTCCAGGTCCGAGCACTGAACCATGTGGTCCAGCTGGCTAAGTATCACCTGGAGTGACTTCTGAGCTCCTTCAGCATTGTTTCAGAACCGCCAAAAAGTAAAATTTAAATCTGGAATACAGTTATCAAGATCAGACTGCCTGCATTCAGATGTGGATCCTCTTACTTGACGCCCATTTAATCTTGATGAATAAGTTACCTAATGTTGATGGGCCTCAGTTTTCTCAAGTAAAAAATGATGTAATAATAATACCAACTTCACAGGGCTTGTGGTGAAGATTAAAAGAGTTCATTTAAGTTATATGTTTAGCTGAATTCCTTCCACATACTAGAAGTTATTAAGTGATCCCTTTTATTATTTTTTATAAAAAAAAAGTAATGGTATTTTTAATATTTAAACTCACATAAGAGATAAATTTTTTCTACTAAGCTATTTCCCTACCACTTGCATTTTTTAAGGTTTTGCCCCCTCAAGCCATTAAGAACCAGCCATCCAGGACAGAAACTTTTCCGCAGGAAAAGGTAAACACTGGAATGAACTAGAATCTGGTGCATTAAAAAAAAAAAAAAAGAGGAAGTTTTAATGCTGAGACTACATAAATTTGAAATTAAACATACCTCAAAAGCATCTAATAAAGTATTTATGTTATAAAAAAAAGGTAGAAACCATTAACTGGATATATCTAAGGAATTTTAAAATGCAAGTGTTGGCTATCATAACCTAGCAAACATACTTCACCCCTCTCTTATTTAAAAATCTATGGAAAGAGCTGGGAAAGACCTTGTCCCTGGCACACACTAGGGGAGGAGGGAAAGCCCAGAGCACATCCATTACCCATCCCTGGGAGCTCTCAATTATAGCCTCTGACATCAGGAGAAATAGGTCTTCATCACCTTTCAAATGTTCCTTTGATCTACTTAGAGAGGCAGAAAACAACTAAACAACCTTATTTTATAAACATTTGAACTGTTTCTTGCTTAATTTCCTTATTAACTTCTCTTTTATTAAAAGGAATGTCTTTATCATCTAAGAATCTCTTGTGGGGCCAGAGAGACAGTACAGGGGTTTAGGTGTATGCCTTGAACACACCAATCTGGGTTTGATGCCTAGCACCTCCTATGTTCCCTGTGAACTCTGCCAGGAGTGATACCTGAGCACAGCCAGGTATAAGCCCTGCCTAAACGCCCCCCCCCCCAAAAAAAACCCAAAATAGAATCTGTGTCGTGTTGCTTCTTTTGAGGGCCCATTTAAGAGAATATAGAATCATTATGTTCTTCTGTTGATTTTACCAATGAAACAAGAAAATTGTTATATGGTACCAGCTCTGATTCCCCTTTTTGGCTTTAAAGGTAGAAAAACATAGATTATTAATGGTTAATGGTAGATTTGTATTGAAGCAGACATGTTATGTCAACTTCACATCCTGGACCTAGATGGAGGTGGCTTCTGAGTGTTTATTTCAACAGAAATACAAGAGAAACACCCTGGGAATGGCTATGGAGGCCCAAGAATAATCCTGTGGCTATTGAAAACTGAGCTATCTAAGGAATGTAGTATAAATTAAAAAGAAAAAGGAAAGTGCTAGTTATTTTGAAAGAGGAAATACACAGCACTACAAACTGGTAGAAGAAAAGAAAAGATCTTCAAGAGAGAGGGGAGAAATAAAAATCACTGAGCTTTTAAATCATTTGCTTCTGGGAAGACACTGAGCCTCACAGAAACATAAGCCTTTCAGGCTGAAATCTACTTTCACATTGTCTTCATGTACAGGTACAAAGTGAAAGATGATTCTTCATTTTGTTTTACTATACTTTTCTCTTAAACCAAGCTAAATCTTCCAAATAGGTTGGTCAGTAAGGACATGCTATAATTATCCTTCCAAAGTAGAACTCAAGTAGAATCACACACAGAATAAAAATTACACTTACTATATTCAAAAGTTCAGCAGTCACTAAACACTGATCCTACCTTAAAAATTAATATGAAAATTAATTCTTTCATTACAGGATTACATGTAATTTTAAGCATATAAAAATGCCTGGAGATAATGATTTAGTATCAAATGAAAATTATTAACTACCTCTTATTAGCATATTTTCTGTAAATACACCCACTTCACACTAGTTAAATAAAACCAAAGGAGATTATTTAGGAAAAAACATAGTACATATATCTGATAAAATATGTGCAAGATTAGTTACACAGAATTAAAGTCCAGAGTTCTACAATAAAATGTTTCAGAAAACAGCTGATAGAAATAAAAAAGTGATCTGCTTTCCAAGATTTCCAGGGACATTATTGGAAAAACCCTACAGTCCTCACTACTAACAATCTCACCTAGGGACTAAACACTGAAAAACATTTTACATTGTTTTATTTTAGCCCTAGAAGAACTTATATGATCTGTTTCTAAAAACATTATTATACTCTTTCTAAAAATATTACTATACTGTTATTAATTCCTTGATCTAGGTTCTAGATTCTAAGATACAGTCAACTATGGACATACATAGGAATTTTCCAATATCATACTTTCTATACCCTACATGTACAGATGTTGTACTTTAGAAAACACAACTTTCTCTTATATGACACCTTTCTGTATCTTTCATTGTTTTAAGCAACTATATAAATGCCAACCTACTGAACACTTTTAACGAGATCATTCTTGAATATTAAAATAAATCTGCATAGAATTTTTACCTTTGTCTTATACCAACTGTCTTATTCTCAGATCACTGAACTTCGGGGTTCACACAACTAATTATATATTTTAATTTTTTTCTCTGCAGTGGTATTATTTTGGTGAGGTCAAATGAGAAATATTTTACTTTGGATTGAAGGCCAAGGCAATTGTTGCCTGGAATCTGCCAGACCATTTATTGCTTCTTAGGCTTTTAAAAATAGCTATATTCTGAGACGTGACAAGAATCACACACTTCTAAGTCATTAGACAATAGATTCTGTGTTAAGTCAAAAGGAAATGTTATCAGGTCTTGATTTGATCAATAAGACATGAAAGGAATCATGTTTGTGGGCAAATGGAAAGTACGAGAAACATGAAACCATATCCTTAGGTGAGCATCTTTCGCGCTTTCAGTACCAGTAAATGCTGGGCAGCGACACATTTTGTGAAAGGGAACAGATCTTTCTGTTTCCTGGGAGGCGGGTTACCCTTCCTTCTGTGTTAGCAGCACCCAAGTTATTCATTCCCAAGCAATGCCTTCCAAGGCACTGGCTTTTATAAACCCTGGGGAGTTTTGTGGAATTCTGTGACTATATTTAGGGTAATGCATCCCCATAATAGTATTACAACACCGATCTAATATTTATTTAGAGTTTACCCAAAATAATATCTAAGATTGTTAAGAATCCCTTTTCACATACAGTCCGCCCCCCCTCTAAAATCTTCAGAAGCTTATAGAAAAATCCTCTGACTTAATCCATGTATTTTACTCACAAGCCTTCGCTTGTCTACTCTATCTCTATTTCAATCCATTTTAAGAGGAACATTTCACACTCTGAAAGTTCAAACGTGCTTAAGTTAGCAAACAACCCGAAACGCAAAAGTTATATAAAAAAAAATTAAGGTCAATCTTACCTATTCAGTTCGCAAACAACTTGAAATGCAATAGTTACATTTTTAAAGAGAGAGAGAGAGAGAGAGAGAGAGAGAGAGAGAGAGAGAGAGAGAATTAAATCTTACCTCCAGTGGTTTGATCGTCCCTTGTTCTGAAACAAAAGTAAAAATTGGCATTGTCAATGCAAAGTTATTTTGTTTGGTTAGAAACCTAAACCTGTTCTCTTCTGCAGCCTGGTAAAACACTACTGCTTTGTTTTCCTAACTGATACCTGTAATATATTTCCAGGGTCCCTCAGGCCCGGCTAGTAATTGTTTTGCAACCCAGGTTCTCTCGTCTTATTGGCTTGTCAGAAAAGTGACTCATAGTTCTCAGAGACTTCTAAGTTATGCTTAACTTTTTCTATTGTTAATTAAGCAAAGTCAATCCAGCCACATAAAGCTTCTTAAAACAGGAGCCTGTACTGAGGTTTTATGCGTGATAGAAAATCAGGGGAGAACCTTCCTTTTCACATACTTTTAAGAATATAAACACCATTACAAAAGCACAGCACTGGCATTCAATTATGAATTTAACATAGCACCAAATTGCATGCGGTTTTTAAAATTAAGGAGTTACAACTCTTAAGTTTGGGAGGGGAGGGGTTTGGTTTAATTTAAATATAGAAATACCAAATTGATAGGATTCTATTTCAATGCTACTTTTTCTTCTATCCATAGTTTTCCTACCTATGAGCAGAAACAACAATCTCTCATTACATTTCAGTTCTTGAAAACAGTTTTAAAGATCCCTAAGATCTTCAGGGAGCAATGTGGCAAAAAGTGAGGGTCATTATAAGAATGAACATGCACACACCCCACAGGGAAATAATGCAAAATTGTGTATTTGTTTCTTTACCCCAACCCAGGAGCACCTACACATGTCCCAGGGTCCAGACTATAAAGGTGAAAAACCTCAGACAGGGGAAGCAGAGGAAGAGCGGGCCAGCCCTGTGAAAGCCCTGTCGACTGTTTCTTTAAGAGGTTCCAAGAAGTCCTATAACCAGAGTTCAAGGAGAAAACTACAAGACTAGCTGCTGCAGATTGCTTAACACTGGAAGACTGCCTGAGGCATGGAACAAGAGGTGAATTTTTTGTTTTTAAGGACAACTCCTGATAAATGGCAGGAGATACTTGGGTGGAAGGGCAGGGAGGGGGCTCCTGGAGTCACCTTTCTAGAGAAAAGCTTAGTGTGCATTCTTTGTCAATATCAAATTCTATCATTCTAGCTTTCATAGGTGACTGCCTAGCCATCTCTTGCAAGTCTGACATTGACCTTTATGGAGCAATACTGGGGAATTTCTGGACAGAAAAAAAATTACTTATTTTCTCTTCGTTGGAAATATGAAATGCTTCTTCTAATAAAATACCGCCTAAGAAAATTAGTCTGGGGGGGGGAGGCAGATAACGTAACAGAAGGTCCCAGTGGATTGGCTACCATGCTCAGACAAAGAAACCAAATTAGGTGAACTCTGATTCCTAACAAGGTAGTTTAAGTACCTGTTTCACTGGTTTGACCAGAAAAACCTATCACGCCAGGAGAGACTACTTTCTTCTATTGGTTTAAGGGAATTTTCCTGCCAGTGAAGTGAGGATTATAAACTGCATAGTAGGGGAGTTTAAATTTTCCACCCAAGGAGACAGGGGAAAGGTTTGCTAGTTCCAGATAACCTCTACAGAAGGAAAATCTCATTTCTGATTTCAGACTAGTACTTGTAAGTGCACATGCACCTTAAGTTTGATTCAAAAAGCGTCATTCTTTCCAAGTCTGATGAGCAGAGTTTTTACATGCTTGGGACTTTGGTTTCTTATAATATGTTTTAAATGTATTATTTCTTTGCCTACCAGAGAGCTAAGCCCTGTGGCAGTCACTGTCACGCCAAGTTCCATGAAGGTCATCTGACACTCTGTGGGAAGAGGACGCAATGATATCCACTATGCTGGGCTTTCTGTATTGCAGAGAACAGGCTTAGACATGGAAGACTGCCATTTAAAAGTGTTTCCTATTTTACTGCATATTTGAGTGCAAACAGGTTGGCTCCCTGTGTCAGAGAGCACCGATCAGAGAAAGGCTGGGAAGTACACAGTGAAGCACAAACTAAACCAAACTAACTTATTTAAACTTCCCTTCATTTGCCCAAATCCTTGTTGTCTCCTACTTTTCCTCTTTTGTGTCTTATCAAGCATATCAGCTTTTTTTTCTTTTTGTAATTCTGATAGAATATGAAAAGAACCAGGTGACTAGCTGTGACCCAGAGAGAATGAAATGGAAAAGACCTTTGTGCTGGGTGCAACTCTAAGGATAAGAGCTCTTAACCAGGGTTAACCCTGCACTACTCCTGGCATTCATGAGCACACTTTCACTCTGAAGCCCAGGAAAGAGACCCATTTCTTCCATGGACTTGGAACAGAGCATTTTGCACTCTGATCTGCTCACGCTGAGTTTAGCACATAAATAGTGCCTCTTGAAGATCTGAGCTTTCACTTAGTCATTGCTCATGGTTAGGTTCTGTAACTTTTCTGAGAAGAGTGAAAAAGTCAAAGGACTAGAAATAACCCTTAGAAAGTGTTCTGAGTTCAGAAATTCTAAGCCAGACTCCTTAACTTAGAGATCTGTGCTTGCTCAAGAGGCCACACCACCAAACTGAGTGTCTCCTTTATCAATATCATATAAATTCTAATGATCACATTAACAAATGCCATAGTCTATTAACATAATGGTTATGTTTATTAACATAACAGAGAAATCTAACTACAATGCTGTTCCACATATTTTCAAAGTAGGATCTCACTCTGGCTATGAGAGTGGAATTCTGTAGTCTACAGAAAAGTTACTCAAATTTTGAAGTCTGTAATACCAGTCTTCACTTATTCTTGATACACACACAAAACTACCTCACAGTTATTTGTATTTCTATAAAATTGTCATTATTCTTTAGGACTAGGGCTGGAGTGATAGCACAGCGGTAGGGCGTTTGCCTTGCACGCAGCCAACATGGTTGACCCGAGTTTGAGTCTTCCGCCCCTCTCGGAGAGCCCGGCAAGCTTCCGAGAGTACCTCGCCCACATGGCAGGGCCTAGCAAGCTCCCCGTGACATATTTGATATGCCAGACACAGTAACAACAAAAGTCTCCAATGGAGACGTTACTGGGCCCGCTCGAGCTCGAGCAAATTCTTTAGGACTAATAGAGTAAGGCTGATGATCATCGAATCTACCTTGACTAGATATTGACTAAATAAAAAGGTTGCTGGTTGAGATCTGATGGCAAAATTTGCAAACTCTCTTTGGCTCCCCATCTCTTCCCTTCCTCTCTCCCTTTCTCACCAACCCCATTTATCTCTTGCTTTTTTAGGACAGTAATTCTTCAAGTTTCCAAAAGATTTTAATCTGCATCTTATCTTCACCCTGCAGCCTATTTTTTTTAGGTGACTTACTGATCAAACTTTAAAATGTTCTTACCCTTTCAAGAACCTTTATATATGGTGACTCACAGGTCCTTAAGGGGTTTATACCTTGTAATCTTTCATCATGTCTCAACTGGTTTATTTCAATTCAGAGGAGTGTATTACTGAGGTACTTAGAGCCTTTGCAGAACTGCATCTTCAGTGCTGGTACAGGACTCAATGTACATATTTGTGTCACAGAAATAATTTTGTTGAAGCTTTGCTCCACTGCTTATTATTCAATGGATTAAACATAAAAGCCAATTCTAATCTATTTGTTTTTCCAATTCTAATATATTTATAAATATGGTTCTCAGCACATATATTATTACATAATTTTCTGTCTTTTATCTAAGTTCTATTTCTTAAGACTAAACAAATTCACATCCAACAAGACTGTTTATCTCAAAGGAGCCACAGATGAAGCAAGAAACGAGCAGAAAAGGCTAGAGCACATGGCTGGTATGGGAGAGTCCAACGTTTGATCCCTGGCACCCCATTTTCCCCTAAGCATGAAGCTGGAAATAGTCCCTAATCACTCCCCCATAGTATCTCCCCCAAGTGGTAATGACAGAAAAGTAATAACTATATTGTTATTGTGAAAGGAACTGCCATGGTTGAAAAGCTATTTTTGTGAAGCCCTGAAAAAGAGTAACAAAAGGCAAACTAACCAACTTTTGGAAGAGGTTGCACAAATGTCATGGTCACCAATCAGACCTACAGCAATATCTGGGTGGGTGGGTGGGTGGGGGAAACAATTCAGTAACATTTGGAAAAAGGTTCTGATTTCAAGCTCTGGCAGAACTCCTACTATAAAAGGATAGGTTCCAGTTCACTTCAATAGTCATTAATATATCATTAAATTGAATCAAACAGGTAAATGAAAAAAAACATAGGAACAACTATTGCATAGAAAATTATCTTGATGAGAGTGGGCTAATTTTCACAAAATGCTCTAAGAAAATTAAGTTGAATCAAAGACATTATTCCATTATGATAAAGCACTGATTCATGAAAAAGTAATACAATAAAGTGCCTAAAGGTAAAATGCAGGAATAAAATTGTATTATAAAAATCTTATCACTTATTATAAATTACTACAGTATTATTTTTAAAAGCCACTTCAAATGCCAATTTGGGGTGCAAGTTATAGGTAGCAGTCCTGCAGGTTAAACCGTTATGATACCAAGGCGACTTCCTTGCAATTATGAGTGGCCATAGCAGCAGCAGGAGTAACAGCTGGTCTAGATAAAAGAGTGATTAAATAGATAAGCAAATGGGGATCTGCTTTGGTTAAATATTAGAGCAGCTGAGGCTTGCAATTCCACTAAAAGAAAAGATGCAGTAAACCAAAGTCATCTGCTCCAGCAATAACTGCCTTCCAATGTTACTTTCTTCATTTAAACCAAGGGAATGCAAAACACGCTATAATAATCAATATCGGGGGAAGAAGTGGGCCAAAAAGGCTGAATCATATATTAGAAAAGGAGAAGAAACACAAACATCCCCCATAGCCTGTAGTCTAGAATTTGACCTTCCTGATGGTATACTGAGATAAGGAAAGGAAAGGGAAGGGGAAGGGGAAGAGGAAAGGGGGGGAAGGGGGAAGGGGGAAAGGGGGAAAGGGGGAAGGGGAAGGGGGAAGGGGGAAAGGGGAAGGGGGAAGGG